GGAATTACAGGCGTGCGCTACCATGCCCGGCTAATTTTTTTATTTATTGTAGAGATGAGGGCTCGCCAAGTTGCCCAGGCAGTTTTCGAACCCGCGGGCTCAGGCAGTCCACTCACCTCAGCCTCCCAAGGCATGGGATTACAGGCTGAGCCACCGAGCCCAGCTTCAGGTTGGAGAGACAAAATAAATAAAACATAGGAAGAAGATTTTGATGATGGCTTCATGGACATAGTGTTTAATCCGGGCCTTGCAGTTTGCATAATCACACACAAAGGACATTCATGACAAAAAGACAGTATGAACAAAAGCAGGAGGCAGGGAAATAATGGATAGGTCATTTTGGATGACTTGTAGGCTGTGAAAGGATTTATGAATATATGAGAAACTATACAGACACCTGGAAGTTATTATAAACTGTAAATTTCATGTTAACAATCAGCCTTGTATGTACATTTCATTTTGCAAAAATAATTTGTGCCACCTGACCTTTTAGACTATTTAATCTAGCAGATTTATGACGCATTGACTAATGTTGCAGAATGTTCTGCTGAGGACTTCCCTGCACTTTGTCTTGGATTTGGTTTTCCTGCAGGAGATCTAACCACTTATCCCCAGCTCTTTTATATTAAAACATCAAGAATTATTTTTAAAAACCATGTTGACAATAAAGTGTATTTTACTTTTTACTATTCCTATTCTCGTTCACATGTTGGGAAAGATGTAATTAAGACCATGCTGTTATTTGCTGGGCGTGGTGGCATGTGTCTATAGTTCAGCTACTTGGAAGGCTGAGGCAGAAGGATCGCCTAAGCCCAGAAGGTTGAGGTTGCGGTGGCTGTGAGCGTGCCACTTCACTCCAACCTGGATGACAAGAGTGAGACTCCAATTAAAAAAAAAATGCTGTTGCTATTTGTGTACACATCTCATTCTCCTTACAGTAAGTTCCTAGAGGGCATATGTTGACTGTGTATCCCATGTAGTGTTATCGCACTGTGACAGAGAAGATTCTTAATACATCTTGACTGAGAAATAGATGAACTCAGCAGCACATTATAGGGAAAGTTGAATTTTGCTTGTTTTTTTTGTAGAATGAGTTTGAATGTGACCTACTTTTCTGTAGTAAATCAGAATTAACTAAGAGAACTCTAACTGGTTTGTATTTGTTGCTCTTCTGTTCCAGATGCACTGGTAGCTATGGAAAAGGCCATGAAGAGAGACAAGATTATAGTCAATGACCGTCAGTTGGCTTGTGCACGAATTGCTTCCCCAGAGGGTCAGGACTACCTGAAAGGAATGGCAGCAGCTGGAAACTATGCCTGGGTCAACCGTTCTTCCATGACCTTCTTAACCCGACAGGTACAATTGGAGTTACTCTTCTGTTCTATGTTAGTCATGATGAAGTTGTTAAGTGCTTTAAAACACGGTATAGTTAAATCAAAGCCTGTGGTGTTTGGTTTTCGAAGTTTACATACTCATTCAAAATGTTGCACAAGTGTCCAAGCCTTTGGTATCTTTTTGTTTTTGTTTTTAACCCTAACCCTGACCCTGGCCCTGTGTCTTTTTAAACTAAATTGGTAAAATATCAGGCATGGAAAATGAGAGAAGAGAAATCAGAATTATTCCTAGAATGTGTCTTGAGCAGCTAAGAGAATAGAAGTGCTATTCACCAAGATCAGAAAGGTGGGATTAAGAATAGCCAGGCAGCTTTTTGAAAATTTGTTTAAGTAGTCTAAGGCAGTTTTTGTCCTTTACGTGAAGATTAATCCTACTGCTGTTTTTGAATTCTTAAATTCCTGACGCTTTTCAGGTACAGACTAGCTTAACCAGTAGGGTAAGTTCTGAAGAGCTGGTTCTGGCTGCTTTTGACTTTAATTTTTTCTCTTAGGCTTTTGCTAAAGTCTTCAACACAACCCCTGATGACTTGGACCTACACGTAATCTATGATGTTTCTCACAATATTGCCAAAGTAGAGCAGCACGTGGTGGATGGAAAGGAGCGAACGCTGTTAGTGCACAGGAAGGGATCCACCCGCGCTTTCCCTCCTCACCATCCCCTCATTGCTGTTGATTACCAGGTATGTAGTCCTACGTTTGTGATTTTAAGCAGGGGACATGATTTAGGTCGTTCTAAATGGGATTGCAGTTAGACAGGAAAGCAGCAATTGTGCAAAGAAAGTACTGTCACCCGTGAGAACAAAAATTCCCAATCTTTTCTGAAGCAGTGATTCCTTCTCCATTATTAGTGCTTGTATTGTTGCTGTGTGGTGTCTAGAAAATGCTGCATGAAGTATATTTTACTCTATTAAGATGAATTGAGGACTTCGAATTATTGGAAGACAGAATAGAGTAAACTTAGTCTGTTTCCTTATTTTGGTCTTCGTGGTGTCTGACTGTAGTAGAGTTCAAAAGACCTGTAGCCTGCTTGCTCCTTTTACACATGAGGAAACCGAAGCAAAGAGAGAGCAGACACCTTGCCAAGGATGGTTGTTCTAGTAACAGTTCCCTACCCTTTTGGGTTTTGCTGTGCTCTTAAGTTCAGTGTCTTCTGCATCTTTCCTGGTCCCCACATTTTCACTCACTCTCTTCTTCCCTCCCTCCAAATTATCAAAGATTCAAAGTAATATCTTAATGCAAGAGCAATGTGTTTAGAGGTCTAGGTTTCTACCACAGTCCTACAATGCAAAAGGAAATGTATATTTCAGGCATATAAAGCTTATGCTTTTCTAAACTTTACCATGTTTGACTTATGTGCATCCTCAGCTCACTGGACAACCAGTGCTTATCGGTGGCACCATGGGAACCTGTAGTTATGTTCTTACTGGCACTGAACAGGGCATGACTGAGACTTTTGGAACAACCTGTCATGGAGCGGTAAGGAAAACAGAAACTTCCTTAGAAATGCTGTCTACTTTGTTTATTGTTTTGCATTGTGACTGGTAAATGTACCTGACTGAGCATTAACAAAGTTGAAGTTTGGGTCTTCCAGGTCTTCTACTTGAAATTATTTTCTGTAATATATACTGTTTAGTGAACTGATTGAGGTCACTTAATATCTGTGCCTTAGTGAGGCCATGGTAGGGCTAGGAACTGTTCTTTATCTCTGCAAGTCCAGAAAATTCAGGCTGAGAAATTGTCACACTAGCTGAGCTTACTATAACTGACTTATAGGTGATATAACTTCAAATACAGTTTTACACCACACCTTATCTCAGCAATTCATAGGACCTGCTCATTTGCTTAATGTGCTCCTTCCTTTTGTGTGGGTCTACTCAAGATTTGGGGGATATACTCTCCTTGCAAATCAGAGCCCATGTGTAGTCTATAAGACACCCATTTCAGTATACGTTGCCTCTTATCCTTTAAGATGGGTCTGTGAACTTTTTCCGTAAAGGGCCAGACAGTAAATATTTTAGGCTTTGGGGGCCACATGGTCTCTGTACTAGCTATTCAGCTGTGCCCTTGTAGTGCAAAAGCAATTCAAAGTACTACTTTGAATTATTGAAAGACAGACGCATCTTGTTGTCTAGTTAGGATAAAGTCAGAAAGACCCATAGATGGGCATTGCTGTGTTCCAGTAGAACTTTTTTTGTTTGTTTTGAGTCAGGGTCAGGTTGCCCAAGCTGGAGTCCAGTAGCACCATCACAGTTCACCACAGCCTCGACCTCCTGAGCTCAGACAGTCCTTCTCTACCTCTGCCTCCCAAGTAGTTGGGAATACAGACACCTGCTGCCACACCTAACTGATTTTTTTTTTGAGTTGGAGTCTCACTCCGTTGCCCAGACTGGAGTGCAGTGGCATGTTCCTGGCCACTGCAGCCTTGACCTGCTGGGCTGCAGCAATCCTTCTGCCTCAGCCTTCCAAGTAGCTGGAACTACAGGCGCGCGCTACCACGCCCGGCTAATTTTTGATCTATTGTAGAGATGAGGTCTCACCAAGTTGCCCAGGTGGGTCTCAGACCCGTGGGCTCAGGCAATCCGCTCACCTCGGCCTCCCAAAGCATGGGATTACAAGCTGAGCCACTGAGCCCGGTCTGATTTTTTATTTGTTTGTAGAGATGAGATCTCACTATGTTGTCCAGACTGGTCTCAAACTTCTGGGCTCAAGCAGTACCTCCTGCCTCAGCCACTTAAAACCACCTGAAATTACAGGTTAGTGGACCACATTTGGCCCACAACTGTAGTTTGCCAACCCTTATTCTAACCCATTAGAGTGTTTACCCAGTGTTGGAATGGAAAGTCTAAACTGTCTAGGTTACCTTTCCATAGGGCAGACCCTCACAAACCTATTTTAACCCTGCTTCTTTCTCCAATCATTTCTCATTTCCAGCTTTCTCCCAACTCCTAACTTTAGCCCTCATCCAAGGTAGACCCTGCTCCCACAGGGACATTGGCAGTGTCTGGAGGCATTTTTGATTTTCATGATTTAGGAAGGAGTTGGCATCTAGTGGGTAGAGGCCAGGGATGCTGCCAAACGTCCTACAATGCACTGGACAGCACCCACCACAAGGAATTAACTGGTACAAAATCAGTAGTTGTGAGGTTAAGGAATCATTTTAAATCACAAAGAGCACAAAGTTTTTGTGATAATAGACATGGTATTTATAATTAAAAACTTACATGTTTATATTGAATGATTAATGGTAATAGAAATGCAAAAAGGTAAATCTTTAACTACAATATGCTGTATAGAGATAGAAATTTAATTCCCAAAAGGATATAATGAGACTTATAAAGGCATGTAATAAGTTTGATAAAGTAGAGAAAGAACAATTTGTTGTTGTTGTTGTTGTTTGTTTTTTGAAGTCAGAGTCTCACTCTGTCTCCCAGGCTAGAGTGCAGTAGCACACTCACAGCTACGACCTGCTGGCGCAGGGGATCCTTCTGCCTCAGCCTCCCAAGTAGCTGGAACTACAGGTGCACACCACCACACCTGGCTAATTTTTTGATTTATTGTAGAGACGAGGTCTCCCTAAATTTCCCGGGCTGGTCTCGAATCCCTGGATTCAGGCAATCCTCTCACCTTAGCCTCTCAAGTGCTGGGATTACAGCCATGAGCCACCATGCCCGGCCCAGAAAGATTGCTTTTTAATTTCCTTTTTAATTTAAGTAAGACCAAGGAAAAGGCACATAATCCCAAGGGATTAGAGTGAAGTTCACCTTTCCCCATTCCCTCCTTATTCTAGGGCCGTGCATTGTCCCGAGCAAAATCTCGACGTAATTTAGATTTCCAGGATGTCTTAGACAAATTGGCAGATATGGGAATTGCAATCCGTGTTGCTTCACCCAAACTGGTTATGGAAGAGGTAAGTGAAATTTTGGTAAATATTTAGCATGTTCACCATTTATGAATTGTGTCTGTGCCAAGATAACAATTTTTAGTACTCCTAATAAAAATTGTTTAGTTGTTTGGTTTTTTGGTTTTTTTGTTGTTTTCGTTTGCCTCAGTTTCAGTTTATCTTCCTTATTTTGGTTTTATATTGTCTTTTGTTTGGAGATTAATTATGAGCCAAGTTCATAAAAATGATTTTTACTATTCATGTATAGTCCCTACATATTCAGCTTTAAAAACAGTTTGAGCTGACTCATGTTTAACCTTGCTTTTGCAGTTGTATGCTTATGTTTCCGTTTGAAAGCAGATTTAGAAAAAGAGGGAGGAAATGTTTAGAGAAGCAGTTTTTTTTGTTAGTTTTTTTTTTGAGTTGGAGTCTCACTCTGTCGCCCAGACTGGAGTGCAGTGGCCGCTCCTGGCCACCGCAGCCTGGACCTACTGGGCTCTGGCGATCCTTCCGCCTCAGCCTTCCGAGTAGCCGGAATTACAGGCATGCGTTACCACGCCCGGCTGATTTTTTGATTTATTGTAGAGATGAGGTCTTGCTGCCCAGGCGGGTCTCAAACCTGCGGGCTCAGGCAATCCACTCACCTCAGCCTCCCAAAGGCGCGGGATTACAGGCTGAGCCACCGAGCCTGGCTTTGTGCCACTTTTAAAATCATTGCTGAGTATTCTACCAACTGAATACCTTAGTTTCTGCCCATAGTGGACATAGTAACTTCCAGATTTTTGCTACTGTAAATTAAGTTGTGGTGTCTTCATGCGTGAAGCTTTTTTCTAGATGTTTTAACAATTAGAATGATATCTCAAAAGAAAAATTATAAAGTCGGAGTATATGACTGAACTTTATTTTTTAATAACTGTTAATTTTCCCCCAATCTTAAGAATAATATGTTTGATTTAAAAGATTTGGAAAATACAAAACAGAAAACATGTAGAATTTCAACCAGAAATAACCACTCTTAACATTTGATTTTTGTTGTTTGTCTGTTTACTTGCAACACGATTTTTTCATTCATGTATTCAGCTAATAATACATATTAATATCTGCTGTAGTTAGGTACGAATAGTATTCTAGGTGCTAGGGATACTGCAGTTGAACAAAACTGGCATAAATCGCCTCCTCCTGGGACTTACCAAATAGTAAAATGTGTAGTGTGTTACTGACCATATAAGTGCTATGAAGTAAAAACAAAGCAGGGAAAGGGGATGAGGAAAAGTGGGAAGGGGCGCAGTACAAGTAGAGTGGTTGTGGAAAACTTTAGTGAGGTGATATTAAAGACTTGAAGGGAGAGTGAGGAAACAGGCTGCATTATCTGGAGGTAAGCTTTCCAGGCAGAGGGAACAGTGAGTGCAGAAACCCTGCACCCACAGCAAGGCCAGGCACAACAAGAGCAAGCCTGAGGTAGGGGAAGCCAGAGTGTGGGTCCTTTTTTTTTTTCCTCTTTGTAAAAGGACTTTGCTTTTACTCTGATTAAAATGGAAAGACATTGGAGGATTTTGTTGATCTGTCTCGAGTGTTTTTATGCTGATGAGAAGAATCTAAAAGAAATTAATGATGCGTGAAAGCGGAAAATTACTGGAGGTGTGTCTCTGAGAGGCTAAAAGGAGATGGGATCTGGTGGACAAGTGAATGGGACTGGTCTTTGCTAGGAGCACAGATAATTCATCCTTAATAGAGGAGAGAGGGAGCAGATGTAGATAGGCAGGGAAGATGAGGTGAGAGAGTTTATGAACATTCGACTCTGGCTGCAGCTGTTTTTTTCAGTGTATTAGGAAGTGAGGTCAGCACCTGAAAGTGAGGATGAGGATGCTGGAGAAGGTATGAACTAATCATCTAGGCAGCACCGAAGACCCACCTAGGCAAATTCAGTGATTGAGTATTTTTTCAACTATATTCTGCTTTATAGATGCAGTTATGTAATAGGTGCTGTGTTGCCTTTGACTAGGGTCACAAGTTGAGCACAGTGAAAGAAAAACAAGGTAATGATTGAGGATTTGCAAAGGATTGGAGGTCCCGGTAGAGCTAAAGGATTATTGGCAAGAGGGAGTGAGCAGGAAACCTGTGATCACCAGCCTGGAGTGCTTAAGAGTGAGACTCTGGAGGAGTGATGATCATTGGTAATGACACGCTAGTACCCTGGAAGTAGACTGAGGTAAGCAGAGCCACAGTCATTGGAGGAGCAGAAATCAAGGGAGTGGGAAGCTACGACACTGAAAGGATCCTCTCCCTGCATGAAGAAGTCATTCAGAATTATAGCAGGAGAGAGGAGTTAGAAATCTTCAGGTAATGTTTGGGAGTGAATCAGACTCTAGCAGATAACTACAACAAGAAGAGTAGGTGATAATATGATGACCACAAGATTCAAAACCAAGAGTGCTTACTTAGGAAGGAAGGATGGAGACTGGAAACTGCCATGAAAGCTAGGAGGACACCTGTCCCACTTCTGGGGCCAATGGCATGACCCAGTTTATGAGAGAAAACAGCTACTACTTAAGAAAGTTGGAGGTGAAAATAATATCCTCAGGAAAGATCCTTTTTTCAGTAAAAACAAGAAGGTGAAGGAGTGTTCAAAGAAAGGAAGGAGGAGAGATTTTGCTTCTTCCTCTGGAGGGAGTTCCAGAGGCTGCAGTGGGAAAGTTCCAGAAACTGTGGGAATCAGCCTGGGCGCCTCAGTGTCTTGTGTTGACATGAATAGAGATAGAGGGGGTGTGTGATGTGATGAGTTCTGACGGTGGCAAGACAATGTGGGTGAGATGGAAGGGTGGAGTCTTGCTCGAAACAGAAATAACTTTGAGAGTGTGGGCACACATGTATACATACACACATACAGCTTTAGTTTTATCCATATATGAATTTAATAACTTTCCCTTGTGATAGTAATACATGTTCATTTCAGATTTTTTGGCAATCACAGAAATATATTTTAAAAAGAACATTAAAATTAAAACAAGATAAGTGTTTATCAAACGACCCCTTACTAGTATTGAGCTTACTCATTTTTAAAATTTTTGCTAATTTGATAGGCAAAAGAAAACCCTCAGTTTTATTTTAATGTACACTTCTTTAATTACAAGTGAAGTTTAGTGCTTTTGAAGATTGCCTTTTCAGTAGACTTTTACATTGTTTCTTTCCTCCCCTACAGGCTCCTGAGTCCTATAAGAACGTGACAGATGTGGTGAATACCTGTCATGATGCTGGAATCAGCAAGAAGGCCATTAAACTGAGACCAATTGCTGTTATCAAAGGTTAGAACATTGAGGAGCAGGACCACCGGACACCACTGACCCTCTCTGAAGTGGAAGTGGAGTGACTTACTCTTCACACTTCAGACTCAAGAGCTGACAAGTTCCAAAGTATGCAGTTGTCACTGCTCCTGCCTATGTGACCACCACCAACTCCCTGGAGGAGGCACATTGTCCCCATTTAGAAAGGGAGGAATATGCCTCCTCCTCAGTTGTCCTCCTGCAGATTTTAGGAAAATCTATTAAGGGATGGGGAGGGGTCAAGAAATCAGAATGAACGTCTTTCTACCAGGCTCTATTTACATCCCGAGAGATGTCATGAAGAAGGTTCTATTAAATAAGTTTCAGAATGTTTCCTTTCTTCCCTCACTTTATCAGTTTGTCCATTCATACACCCTTCTAGGCACTGCCCCTGCACTGAGCAAAACCCCTCTTAGTTGGGGCACACCTGGAGTTGTAGTAAGGATGTTAGATGGAGAGGAGAGTGGGACGCATTGAGGAGGCCGTGTGTATGGAGGTGCAAGTAATAGGGACCCAAGAGAGAACAGATTTTCATAGCCTTGCAGCCTTTCTAATTCTAAGTACAAGGCAGTTACCTGCAACATGGCATCTGCTGGTATCTGTCATTAATTAGGCCTGGCCTGACTAAATTTTTTTAATAATACCTGGCATAGTAGTGACACAGAACCCTTACATGAGACTGGATATCTTTACATTTTGACTGAATTATTATAAAGACATTAAATGACCAAAGGTGTCATATTAACAGTTGCTCTGTGTTGACAGGTTGACTATGACTAGTCTTTTGCCACCAGTCAGATTTCATATTATGTACGGTGACACCTTGTAGAGATATCAAAGGGCTTTAGTTTCAGGTTACTAAGACATTGGCTGAATCTCAACAGCCTGTAAAATAGAAAATCTAATAAAGTTGCAATATATTGTTTATATTTTGTCCTTAATATTTTATAACTTAGGAAAATATAATGTTTGAACTTAATTCACTTTAGACAGTGTTGCTATTTTCTGGTTTTCCCCCAGGTTCCCTTTGCAGATGCACCCCAAAAATATTTTTTTCTGAAAGGTATCCCTCGGCTTATAATAAAAACCCCTATCAGAGTATCTTCTAGATTCATCTACTTGGAAGACTGGAAGAAAATAGATTTCCTCTGAAAAAATATATGATACAAAATAGCCTTAACATTTTTTTACTCTGAGTAGTGAATCTAACTTAAGTTTTTTTGATGGAGGAATTTGCAAGTTATCAAAAAGTTTGTGATCTTTATGTCATCATTACGGAGTACTCACACCTTAAGAGTAGCCTGGCCACTGTTGTCCACAGATGACTTAAGGATGTAGAACATTGGCGGGCAGTTTAGGATGAAAAACAGGCTCCTGGCAGGATACCGGCCTCTCTCAAGATGAGGCAGTGCTGGAGTGTTGGGGGAGACTCCCTGTAACTGAGCATGTGTAATGATGTCATTTGAAACTGATTTAAAGCGAGGTCTCCTCCCAAAACTAACTGATGTCAGTACAGGAAGTGCTGTAGATTCTTTTTAAAACATATGCTGAGTTTTATTAGATGCCTTGAAAGTTACTCTTTAGTCAAGTGAGAGGGGAATAGGTGAGAAGGGCAAATGAAAAGAAGAATGGTTTATGAATGGGGCTTTCTGCTTTGATAAACTTTTCTTTTATCTTTCTCCAGCAAACTTGGCCCTGTTCATGACCATAGAAAGTAATGGTTAATATTTTGAGTTCAAAAGGGAGGATGCATTGTTTTCCTTGTTCTAAAGATGTTTTTTTCAATTTGAGGAAAAGCCATTTAATAATGGATCTTCAAATGATGCTTGAGTTACCAGCTGTGTTTATGATGACCTGAGTGAAAAAAAAAAAAAGCACCATTCATATACATGCCGGAAACACCCTTTGAGGGAGCACGGTCTTCTGCTTTCAGTTGTGAAGGACAACCTGAGTACTATACACATCTTGGTTCCTTTTTAAAGGTCTCTAAAGTCAGTCAGCCTCCCATTAGTCCTCCCAAAATTACTGACATTTCACACACTGGTGATGGACTAGAAAGCCAATTTATTAGGTGCAAACAAAATATAGTCACACTAGTTGTCTAATTTTGTGAATATTTCTTGGAGCAGTGAGGAAATGAAGGTTTAAATATTGATAATGGGATCTAGCACATCTGAAGGTGTTCCCATTTTGATCTTCATAGTCTACTTCATATGACCAGATGCAGTGGTTCAAATCTATAATTCTTTGGGAGGCTATAAAACTTTGGGAGGCTGAGGCAGGAGAATCACTTGAGGCCAAGAGCTCAAGATCAGCATGGGTAACATTGTGGAGACCCTATCTACAAAAAAAATTTAAAATTATCTGGGTATGGTGGCATACACCTGTAGTCCCAGCTACTTAAGAGGCTGAGGCAGGAGGATCACTTTAGCCTAGGAATTCAAGGCTACTGTGAACTATGATCAGACCACTGCACTCCAGCTTGGGCAACAGAGTGAGACCCTTGTCTCTAAAAATAGTATAAAAATTGACTCGGTGCAGTGGCTCACACCTGTAATGCCAGCAGGATTACAGGAGGCCAAGAAAGGAGGATTGCTTAAACCCAGGAGTTCAAGACCAACCAGGGCAACATAGTGAGACCCCCATCCCTATAAAATTTTTTTTTAATTAGATGAATGTAATAGCACATGTCTGTAGTCCCAGCTACTCAGGAGGCTGAGGTGGGAGAATCACTTGAGTCCAAGAGGTCAAAGCTCCAGTGAGTCAGGATCATGCCACAGCACTCCAGCCTGGACTACAGAGTGAGACCCTATCTCAAAAATAAGAAGAAGAAGGATTTTTTTTTTTTAATTTATGTTAGGGTCTTACTCTGTTGCCGAGGCTGCACTGCAGTGGCACAATCAACAGCTCACTGCAGCCTTGACCTTCTGGGCTCAGGCAATCCTGTCTTAGCCTCCTACATAGCTGGAACTACAGGTACATGCCACCACACCTGGCTAATTACTTTTTTGTAAACACAAGGTCTTGCTCTGTTGCCCAGACTGGTCTTGTACACCTGGTCTCAAGCAATCCTCCCACCTTGACCTTCCAAGGTGTTAGCATTACAGACATGATCTACCACGTCCAACCTAGAATATGAAAATGCTACTTCATGTAACCTTTGAAAACTTAAACATAAGATAACTTGAAGTTTGGAGGGGGTTGTTTTTCTTTTTTAGTTTTTCCTAATTTTTCCTGTGGAAGACAGCATTTATTTTTCTTCATGTTCATTATAAGGTTTTTTTCCTGTTTCTGAAAATTCCTTGCAAGCAACACCTGTATTGCCAAAACCTTCCCCTTTACACTCGATATCTGAAGTCTGATAGTCCAATAAACTTGCCAGCTTATTCTGTCCTTCTTATTAATGTCCTATTCTTTTTGCATCTGCTCCAGTGCTTGACTATATGGGATTTTCTTCTTGTCCCAAGAGCATGAAAGATTTTTGTCCATTTGGATTGGTTAAGTATAAAGATGCTATTAATTATCATTCAGTCATTTGGTATATACCAAATCTTTTTGATAAATTCTGTTCTTTAAAAGGTTTTGCTCTAAAACTGATATCTGAAACACCATTGGTCCAAGAAGAAGATGATGCTATCAGGAAGCATGTCACAGAGAATTGAGCGGTGATTGAGCTCATAATTTGCCAGTGTGTAGTAAATGAAAATACAAAGTACCAAATGTATTACAGGTGTTTATTATGTCTGAAATGACCATTTGTGCTTTGTAGTATATAAGACATGGTTATGTAAGATCTTGGTCCTTGCTGCATGAATGGTGGAGGGAGGATCATGTGAGCTGTTCACCGGAATTTAATGAGGTTGGGAAGGTAGGTATTTTCCCCTCGTTGCAGATTAGAACACAGCCTCAAAAATGAATAGTTCCCAACCAGTGACAAAGCCAAACGTAGAGAGCCAGATCTTCCTGACACCCAAGTTTCATGCTGTTTTTCTGATATCACACAGCTTCCTTTGGCCATTCTGCTTTTTCTGTTAAATCCAAGAACCAGCCAGTCCAGTCTAAAGTGCACTTTTAACTAATGTGAAACACTCATAAAAATGTCTTTTAAATGGGATTCGTTCTCTTGCTTGGCCTTGTTGCAGCAGATCAGAGATGCTGACCACCATCAAGGATTCTGGGATGAACAGATTTTATTGTGCTTGATGACTGTAATACAGGTCCCTCTTTTTGCCTTGTTTTGTAGCTACAAATCAGCTTCAGGTAGCCCTCAAAACAGTGGGAACTGCAGAGACCAGAGCACTCAGTAACCATTTACCCCACGTTTCGTGTTAGCTTGAGGTCTTCCTGGAGTTTGCCTGACCTTGGTTGCTGCAAATATCTTTACCAAAGTGGAAGAAAAACTAGAGAGTCAGTCTGTAATCCCAGCGCTTTGGGAGGCCAAGGTGAGTGGATTGCCTGAGCCCGCGGGTTCAAGGCCCACCTGGGCAACTTGGCGAGACCTCATCTCTACAATAAATCAAAAATCAGCCAGGCGTGGTAGCACATGCCTGTAATTCCGGCTACTTGGAAAGCTGAGGCGGAAGGATCGCCTGTCCAGACGGGTCTTGAACCAAGGCGGGTCTTGAACCCGCGGGCTCAGGCAATCCACTCACCTCAGCCTCCCAAAGGCGTGGGATTACAGGCTGAGCCACCGAGCCCAGTGGCATGAGATTTTAACTCCTGGACTCGTCTGCGCCCGAAATCAAGATACCCTTAAACTTCCTAGTTAGTGGGAGTGGGGACTGGGGGGAATATCTTTGTGCTTAAGCCAGTTTTGAGTTTTCTTGAACCAAAAGATTCCTGGCTGGAACAGTGATACACTAATAGGAGATAAGAGGATAAAAACTCCACAGTATATCTGATTTTGCACTAGAGTTACTGAAAGACGGTAGTTCCCCTCTCAAAAACAGGAAACTGATGAGGAAAATTGATTTCCAGTGGGTCATGAAGTTAGGAGTTAGAGGCGTTGAGTTGAAGGTGCCGCAGGCCCTTTGGGCTGCAAATGAAGATTCGTTACAGGAGTTAGAAGAGGTTCTAAGTGGAGCATGAGATATCAGCCATTGGGATCTGCAGGAGAACCAATG